GTGTAGTCATAGGACAAGAGTCAATGCCTTCAAAAAGTAAAAATAGGTTTAGATTGGATACTAGGATTGGATACTTCTCCTTGAGGATGGTGGGGCTCTGGAACAGGCTCTTGAGAGAAGTTGTGGATGCCCTGTGCCTGAAACAGATTTTCAGCAACCTGATCCAGTTGAGGGTATCCCTGATCAGGGAAGAGGGATTGGAAGAAGATGATCTTTTACGTCTCTTTTAACCCGAACCATTCTATGATTCTATGGACATGTAATATTTGTGATTTGACAGAAATGTTTCTTTTATGGTGATGCCTTGGAAATCAGACTCACCTGAAACAGGGGCCAGACAAACTTAAGAGAATGAGAATAGACAACTTTAATACAGGCATAACAGGCCACAGTACATTAGGGAAGACAAAAGCCTCCTCCTCAAGCTACACTCAAAATTAACACCGAGTCACAAGATCTTCACCTTTTATAAGCTCTGTCTTATTAACAGATTGGGCCTTAATTCTCCAATGATCTTCAGCTCATGAAGTCAACCACCCCAAACTTGCTCCCTCCTCCAACTTGCTGATGTTTACGTATTTTGGGGCTCTGAGGCAGCAAGGTGTCCTTGGATTCAGGCTCACAGAGGGATTGTTTTGTCTAAAGATGGGAGAATGGTAGTTTTAGTGCTATACTAGAGAAGTACAAGAATACAGATGCATGAAAATATAGAAACTAAAAATCCTAAGGCATCAGTGGGGAGATAAACACATTAAAATCTGATCTTCCTTTCCTGATCATAAGCAACACAAATTAGTTGTTCTTTGACTAAGTCTACAGTAGTACTGGTGTTATGAAAAAGAGAATTTATTAAACAAGGATGTTGTGAACACATCAGTTGAGTTTATGCTTCAATGAAAAGAATTCACAGATATTTCAAAATAAGTTCATTGTGGAAAAATGTCAAGCTGTGATCAGGACAGTCATAATGAAATCAAAGTATAATCAACCATTGCATTTCTAAGAGTGTGAAGTAACAGATCAGCCTGGTGCTTCTCTCCTTTACGTAAACACAAAAAAAAATTATGGCAGTGAACAGGATCAGAATTCCTCCTACCAAGCATACAGCCCCCATAACATGGAAACAAGGAAGGTTTGAACTGGGAAATGACACAAGCCTTCACAGCACACTTTTATTGAGGTTGTCCACTGAATTCTGCCTGTAATCTATGTTAGCTTCCATCCTCAGATTCTGTGCTGCTTTCCTAAGGGCACTACTTATCACAACACCAGCAGAGGCTTTGTCAGTGCAACTTTTTAGTAATTTGTAGAGCTGTTAATCCAGAGGGCTCTGGAGCCACTGCACTTTTAACTGTCAACAATTTGAAGGACATGCTGCATCCACAGTCCTGATCCAATTCCCTCTGTATGGTAGCAGTTTACTCCCTTACAGATGAAAACAGAGAACCTTACAGTATTCTCCCTTTTCCCTTACATGTAAATATCTTTAGGAACACAACACCACAGCTTTATATGTCCACCCAGTAATAATTGCAGATGCAGTTTTGCGCAAAAGTATAATCTGCAAATTGCTTTATAATCTAGTGAGAAATAAACTATTTCACTTGGCCTTATCTACTAACAGAAAATCTGGAAAATAATAATAAAAGTTGCACCTCATTGCATTTTGGCAAGAGTGGTTCTCAACTCCTGTGTGCAATCATTCTGCGTCTCTTTAGCAGGTAGTCTGAGCCAGGCAGAGGGATGAACAACATCTCCAACATCTGCAGCTAGCACAGAGATGCAGGAGTTGAGGTGTAATTTACTGCTGGAAGAGGTCACTTAGAGATTATTAGTATTTTGAAGAGTGAGAAGTGAGCAAAAAGAAAGCCTAATTGGGAGGCACTTTTCTATACAGAGAAGTGTCATGAAAAGAGATGGGATTATAAGAACAAAATAATGAGAACACTTAGGAATACAGGTAACTTTATTTCTATAAATAGTCCCACAGAAGTCAACAAAGCTTTGTGTGCTTTGCTGTTAGTAATTCTGGACACTTGGTGTTATCTCTTTTTATTTTTAATTATTGAGGTTGATGTGAAATGTGTTCACTCTGGAAATATATTACTTAAAGAGTATTTTTGTATTGACACAATACACAGTTATGGTATGAGTTTTATGAATGTCAGAGACTAAAACAACTTTTACAAATATGATGACATGCATCATAAATTAATATTTCTGCAAACTACTTGTGTTTCTCTCACATTCACATTAATTGTGTCTGGGCTTAGCCCTCCAAACAATTATTTACTCCACTAACTTTTTCCATGTAAGGCTTGTATGTGTGAGCACTTCCCTGGGCTTTCTAAGTAATAATTTCCTCTTGAAAGTCTTTCACATGATAATTAAAACAGCATAAACTTCTTCATTAAAATGCACAGACTACCAGAAAGAAGGATGGCCTCAATCTCCTGATACAGAATTTTCTTTGGGTCTCTTGTACCCAAAAGAGCAGCCACATACTTCTATGACACTTCTCTGGATAGAAAAGTGCCTCCCAATTAGGTTTCGAAATTCTGGAGATTTGCATCACCCAACCAAGTGCCTTACTGTGTCCAGCTGGAGTAAAGCCTGGCTATGAACAAGGGAGCAAGGGGCTACTGCAAAGTGAATTCCAGGGTCTCAATGAGAGCACTGTTGTCTGAGGAGGAAGATCCTAGCACAGCTGCATGAGTGAGGAAAACCACAAGGTGACCACACAAAAGGTGAATCAGAATGCTGGAGGATGGTTGAAAAGTTGGAATGTGGGAGAACATGGAAAGTGGACAGGAAGAAATAGAAAGCAAGGAATGAAGAAACAGAAGGCAAGGAATGAGGATAACACCTTTGAAGGTAAAGATTGAGAAAAAACTCCCCAGCAATGGTAAGCTAAGAGGGAAAAACGAAGTCATAGAGAATTGTAAATTACATCTGGAAAACTAACAGAAATTTAAAAGGACTTAACAAAAAGCTGAATGATACACACAAAGCTGTGGGGATGGACATGCCTGTGGCATGGCTCAGTGTTTAGCACTAATATTTTTGTAAGAAAGCTGAGCAAGATAATTGAAGTCCCTGCAGGAAAACAGAAGGTCTAGAGGCTGACCACAAGTTACTTAGATTTCTAAATTGGTGCCAGATTTGAAGAGGGATAAGAAGTAATTGTGGCCTCCAGTATTTCATGACCCCCCTCTGAAAATTTCCAAACCAATGCTGACAGGTTTGACTTTTATTCTTATCTCTTAAAGAGTAATTCTTCTGCCTGAGGAATAATGCTCTAAAAAACAGGTACTTCCAAAATATCCCTCGCATGCAGAAGCACTGAATTTCTTAAAGGAATTGCAAAATATCTATGCTTTAGACAGCAATTATTACAGTTCTTTCTCTGAAAAACATAGTTGATGCTTTTTCAGTTTGCCACTTCATCTTGCTTTACATTGCTTGAGCAGAGCTCACTGGATGTCGCTAGATGCAACTGAAAGTAGCCTCAGATTGCATGTTAGGAAGAAATTCTTCTCTAGGAGGGTGGTGAGGCACTGGAAAAGGTTGCCAGGAGAAACTGTGGATGTCTCTGGGCAGTTTAAGGGCCTGGTTGGACAGGGCTTGGAGCAACCTGGTCTCATGGGAGATGTTGCTGCCAATGGCAGAGGACTTGGAAAAAGATGATCTTTAAGGTGCCTTCCAACTCAAGCCATTCTATGATCCTATGATCAACCTGTCCAGTGCCTGTTTCCCCTCCTTTATCTAGTGCTTCACTTAACTCACTTAATCAACTGGACTGGTGAACTCCCCTGGGCATCAGTATTGTTCTTCTCAGGGTTGAGAGAAACTGGAATGTTAATGGTTAATGACTCAAAATAGCCTGTCATTTGTGGAGGCAGGATAGTGCTTTGCTGAGGCCAGGTTTGCACCCACCCCTCAACTGAGGGGAAGGCAGAGTGTGTTTTGTGTGTTGGGATTTGAGGAGGGCAAGGAGAAGGCTGACAAGAAGCAGACCATGCAGAGAAAATATAGTGCTTTTTATCCTGGTAGTTCCTCTCTTACACAAGCAGCTCAGTTGCAAAAGCTCTACCCTCCCCTCCCCTGGTCGAGGAGTAACTTGGGGCCACCATATGTAGATGTTAATCGTAATGAGTAGATTGAGTTTAGAAACACAAAAAGATGCATACAGTTGTTCATCAGAAAGCATACAATCATATTAGCAGAATGAGTAAGGGAACTGTGGATGGGAGCTGTGCAAAATTGACAATATTGGTGTTTTCAAAGCACCCAACCGTGGCTGGCAACAAAGCTGTTGCAATGCAATTGCAGACAATTCATGGTCATGGCATGATGTCTGAAAAAAACGCATAAAACACCCCTTGCTCATGTAACCCAATATAATCCCAAACAACAACAACCCCTCACAAATGAAGCATTATGTGCAGCGGTCCCTCTGTGGTAAGATCTCGTAGGGCCAAAACCTGTGTGTGTTAAAGAGGCCTGTTAGGCTCTAATAGTGCCTCTGCCCCCACTGAAGGTTTGATGAGAAGATGATATGACAGGTTTGGCTTCTCCCCATTCTGCTGGCACCACTGATGCAAAAGCCAGAGCCTGCTGCAGGAGGATCAGGACAGGCTCCTGTCGAGTGATGTCTGACTGCTGTTTTCTCACCCTCCTCCCAACAACCAGCTCCCTCTCCAAAGCCCCTCAGTAAAGTGGAGGACAATGCCAGTATTGTTTCTATTAGGGAATTTCTGGAAAGAATAATTACTGTTTACCCAAGCATCTGTGCTGGCTGGCCAAGCTCTGCCAATAATTACTTCTAGAGCCTTTGATTAAATCTGCTCTCCATTTTCAACATTAAGTGCTATTAAGCCACAGGCCGGACAACCTTTCTGTCTCTCCTGGTATTTTAGGGGTATGCTTCAATATTTCTTGCCCTCATCTTGGGTGCAGAAGTGAGGATGCACTTGAATCTGTGATGGGCTCACCTGGGCCAAGTGAACATTTGCTGGAAGTGCAACTCTTCTGCCTTYGACAAAAAAGGCAATTTTGAAAAAGCACTCCTCTAATTTCTCCTTCCTGGCTTTCTTTACAATTGTCTGTAATAGAAAGAGATATTTCTGATTAGCATGGGTGTCCCTCAGAAACTTATCCAAGCTAAATTTTTCTCGTTAAGTGTGGAGCACAAAACTGTCAACAAATTGGAAGCGTCATGACAGTGGTGCAAAGCAAAKTATTTCAGTTTTGCAAAACAAGCAAAACAAAACTGTTTCTGAGTCTGTTTCTAGGATGCTGCTAATAATTTTAGTCTCCTAGACCATTTAGTTTTTACTCACCTGCCTCTCTTCATAGGCCTCCCATGCAAACTGCTAACAGTCCTGTGCAAAATACCATCATAAATATGCATAATTATGGAGATTCATGGTMATTTTTCAGGATTATCCAATGTGACATTTATAGGACAGGAGCATACATCAATTTAAATGAGAGTGACAAATATCTTATCCTTTTTATTTCTATAGTATTTTTAATATTTCCTTGAACTCCCCTAAGTACAGTGTGAACTGAAGGAATTTGAACAAAATATTTTAAAATTCATACACTTTACTAGCACACTACTTTTTTAAAGCTTCATGTTTTTAAAGCATATCTGGTAGGTAGGTGTGCCTGCCTGTAAGACCATATTATCCAAATGTGAATTATTTACGTGCAATGAACAAAAGTTTTTCTGTATGTATTTTACATGTTATCATTACATTCCCTACAGAGAACATCAGAGAGTAAAATGTCTAATGTATTGGGCTGTTTTCTGAAAATGAGTTTGAATCTGTCTAATTCCTTCCATAATCTGACTACCCACCATATAGAACAATTTAGCAAGATTTTCTTCTCATTTTTGTTTTAACCATAATGACAAGGACATTAAATTATTTGCTGTTAACTATGGCAAACTGCAATTAATTATGTTCCAGATCTGTTGTGCATCATAGTGCTTTGAATACATTTTTAATTTGAGATATTAACTGAGATATAGTCTAAAAACTTACTGTTTGTAATGATTACTATGAGTATTTTTATTCTTGGTATTTTGAGTGGCCATCTCACCAGATAGATCTTCAAATTCAAGACATTGTTTCAGTTAAAATTAGTAAAGTTTCTTGTAAATGAAGGTGCAGTGCACTCTGAGACCTCAAAATATCAGTGGGTATTTACCACACAATAGTATGCAACAGAAAGATTGAGAAATCTGGATTTTAAAAAGTAAAAAACTAAAACAAAAGTTGCCTTTACACTTCAAATAACAATGTTACTAGATATTGTTGTAGGATTAATTAATTTGCAAAATAAAATCTTGATTATTTACACTGTCGCATGTCTCAAAATATTCAGTACTAAAACATGCAACATCATTATTCTATGAATCCTTCACTTTTAATAAGAATTATTTTATTCTTGTATGCCTAAGCAGAAAAAACGTTGCAGGCCACAAAAAAAGAAAAAAAAAGATCTAATTTTAATTGTGTATGTTTTTAGTAGAGCTTATTATTTACTCTTCATAAATTTCAACAATGCATTTAATTTTGTCTCTTAAATACATAAATACACCACTGTATTCATACTTTACAAATAGATGTACTTTTTACTTTATCCATTTTTTTAAGCTATTTTATATGGTGCTTTTAACAGACACAAACACAATCCTGCCCTYGTTGTGTAACAATATAGTGGAAGAAGAGCTCACTGAAAGTCTTGTCTTACATTATTATGCAAGGTCTTTGATTTAATTGGGGATTTAGCCAGAAGGTAATAAAACAATGTGGGAAGCTTTCACTTTGCATTACGCAAGCATGCTAAATCAGGCTGTTTACATTTATTTGAGACTGTACATATTCACAGTGTAAATCTGACTGCAACTATAACTTACAGCTATGTTACTGCATATGAAAGGAGTATAAAATGCTGCACTCAAGGACTCAGGCTCATGGATATGCTCACGTGTCTGCAAATGTGCATGGGTTCACATGCCACCAAGCTGCAGAAACACAGTCCCTAAACTCCACATTTTCAAAATGGCTAAAATTTATAATACGTCAGAGGTTCTGTGATGATGAAAYGAATGTCTTAAATATGTTTTTCAGAAAAGCTTGGTATGCATCATGGAAGCATAAGAATTTTCTCTGCTTGAGTTGAGATTGAGATTTGTCAGTCACCAAAGGTGTGACCAAAGTTTACCCCCAACTGCTAGCTGTTCACAAAGGTTCTATGCCCAGAGACCCCATCACCAGAAATGGTCCTCCAAAAATGCTTACTGCCTTGTAGATATGGGACCAAAATTAGTATCAGGGTATAGCGTCTGGATAATCCATATCATCACAAATTCATTGAATGCAACACAGTAGGAAAATACTACAGCTGTGTCTTTTTGTGCTCTCAGGGAGTATTTTTTTGTGTAAGCATACTCTAACTCTTGTAGGATCAGCCTGGAGACTGAGGTGTTGTTTGTTGTCTGTTCTCACTCTCTGGACCAAGCTAAATTTCAAGAGCTGTTCAAAAAAGACTAAAAATTTGGAATATACATTCAAGTGRATATGCCTGCTAAGGCCCTGATCCCATACCCACCACACAACTGACAGAAGGTATTGGCATCCTGCATCAGAATTACTGGGAGAGCCTTTTGGAGACCAGCACCTTGTAGAAACTATAATTAATGTGTTTCTTTAAATTATTGTCAAGTCAAAGCATTGTACTATCTCTCAATAAAAAGGAGGATTTGGTTGTGTTTAAAATTTTACTAAAATACTGTGGATTTTTATCACTACCAGCTATTAAGAATGGAATGCTAAGTTTCACCAAAATAATTTAAGAGGCTGTTAGGTGACAAAAACTAGCTAGTTCTCTGTTATAAGTTCACTATGTGCACACTCATATGTAAGAGTTACTTGCATTTTTCTTACATCTACTTTGCTGCTTGGAAAACACTGATGCATAGAGCAGGTGGAAAAATTCATCTCCCTACATAAAGATAGGGAGGTGTAAAATATTTCTACATCTCTTTTCAAGATTGTTTTAGYTTGCCTCTAAAGCCGTAACATATAATTTTATTTATTGTAAGTAAACTTTTGGAATTAAATGGAGATATTTTTCAACTGAAGCAGGGTAGATATTGATAGGTTATTTTTTATGAATTGCTGAGGAGCAAAATACAATAATTTGGTGGCAAGCATCTCTCTGGTAATCATACAAGATAAATTTGGAAGCCATATAACAGATATATTTATTTTAGGCTGCTGCTAAGCCAGCTTTATTTATCTTGGAAGATTTTTCCATCTGTGGGTGGAAAACAAACATTTTTTCCAAGAGGTCTGTGAACCAAATAATAAATGTCAAGTCTAAATCCCATATGAAAATCAGCTGGGTTTAAGCCTTGGATAGTCTTCAGGATGCAAATGAGGATGGGAGGTTTCCCTATCCCTGCTGTCACACTGCAGCCAATTTACAGGCGTGAGTGCATACTGGATGTCTTGCACCTCCCCCTCACTTCAATACTTGGTCTCAGCTGCCTGCCTTTCACAGAAAACCAAAAACAGAGGAACCATATCAGTAATAGTGCCCTGTAAATTAACTTGACATTTGATGCAAGGAAAAAAACATCAAATGCTCAAAGCTTACAAAAGACATGGGAAAAAAAAAGCTACTCTGGACCCACACTACACATAGCATGGATTTAAGAGCTCTGGAAGGTGGTAATTCTCTTGCAAGCCCTCCTTCTCTTTGTTAGGCCAACTCAGCCACTCTTTGTTAAAGCCCCAGCACCCATCGAATAAAGAAAAAAAAATACCCTACACTTTCACTAAACAGCCTCCATGGAGCCACACAACACCAAGAAGTGCACTGCTAGCTCTGGGCCTACCACTTTATGTCCCTAAAATGAATTTTTTTTAAATGTAATGTTGTTAAAAGATAAATTGTAATTACTAATATTAATTCACTCCTAATAAACTCTGCTAAGTAACTAAGATGTATGCTAGTCTTTCATGATTTGTGAGCAGGCTGTAAAACATGTAAGGCACTGCTGTATCCTGAAAATTCGATTAAACATTATATTTTCCCCTGTACTTGAAGTTACTAATTTTTTTTTCCATCATCAAAAAGTACTTGAATCAAGAACAAACTATTGATGGACAATCACCTGCTTCTGTGACCCTCCTTGCAGTGCTGACAGCGGGAGGATACAGAGAGACAGAGCAGGGACAGACATACGGACATTCAGGGATGTCGTACTTTACTGTGTCTTTGTGTCCTCAGCCCTACTCCTCTCCCCCGCACCTCTTGCTTTTTCCTCCCGACTTCCCTCCTTTCTTCCACACACACGCACACGGACACACACATGCACATACAGACACACTCACACACTCACAGACACACACACATACACACAAACACACACACACACTCGCATGCACAAACACACATACACACATGAATGCACACACTCACACATGCACACAGACACACACAGACACATGTACACAGACATACACGCGCATAAACATGCATTCCCCTCTGCAGACCTGGCAGTGCTGTATCTCTTATGGTTTTACCAGTGCCTGCCTTATGGTTTACATGCAAAGCAGTGTACGGTCAAATACATAATCTTAGCTTGCCTGCTTCCTGTTAATCATAGATTTATTTCCAAGTCCTTGTACTCTGGTTTTTGTTTGTTTTTTTTTTGTTTTTTTTTTCCCCCCTATTAATAGCATTAATATCACTGACATACATATATCCTTGTGGTAATTTTGAATAAGAATCAAATTATAACTGGCAAATACTCCATAATTTAGGGGTTTGGGTTTTTTTTTTTAAAGGTTTTAAGAGGTTTATAGACTTACAGATATATGAAGAGCATTTTGGTTGACTTTTTCATTAGTTCAATGACTTATGGTTCTGTTTGTGTAAAATAGCTGTAATAAAATTAAATAATGTACACACATAAATATGTGTGTATGTAAATGAATTTGAAATAAAAGAGTTCAAAATCCTTGTCAATTATGCTGATTAAGCACCACACTAATAAGTCACACAGTGACAAGATTTTTTG